CTCCTCCTCCTCCTCCTCGTCCTGGAGCTGCAGGAAACAACAATAATCCTCTGTCTGAACCTCTTTTAGTTTCCCTCCACTGACAGCTGGAGTCACTGCTGACTGCGCACATTCACACTCAACGTTCAACTGTCTTTTCCTCTTTACTTCTTTAAATAAAAGCTTAAAACAAGGACTAACAGCGACTGTAAAGTATCAGAGCATTATTATACATCGTTAATGCAATAATAACCCATCATTAAGTACCTCTCATGGAGTTCCATCAGTGCCTTCAGGCTGCTGTTGTATCAAAACCAGCTTTCGCTCTGAGTACTGTTGTGTTCAAGTGCTCTTCGTAAGCTTGTACCTGTCACAATTCTTTTCTTCAGTCACAAATAATAAAAGTTTAAATACAGAAACTAAAAGACCAAACGCATCCGTCGGTACCAACCACGTCACGCTAGCATGTCAGGAAGGAGGCTAAATAACACTCCAGTCGGGCTAAATGTTGGCGATGGATGACGAACACGAATCTCCCCTTTCCATCATTCCCATCCATTTTATGGATAAATTGGGAATGATGAACATACTTGGAGCCACTCCTGCAGAAGTCAGAGCCCCAGTCAGAAGAATCTGTCATTTACATTTTAAAATGTTTAGAAGCTAAATTTGTCGTCTTCTATCTGAAGTCAGCAGAAATCAGCTGGTCATCAGTCAGAGCTTCAACAGGAAGTGTTCGTCACTTCAATATCAGCTATTATTTTGTGGAGCAGAGGTCAGACGACTCATTTTTAAGTTTCTAGTAGTATTTAGTTTGTGTTTGTTCTCTGGTTTGTGGGGCAAAGTGAAGCTCACTGAAGAATTTGTTCGCAGGTGTAAACGGGTGAAACATATAAAGATAGTTTGGGTGTGAGTTGGTGTTTAAGCAGAAGCTGCTGAGGTCAGATAAAGCAGTTGTTGCACAGAATATTCTGGGTATCAATATCAATATCAAAGAAAATCAGTGGGCGGGGCCACCAATCCATCCTCTCCAATCAGAGCACCTGAGAGAATTTCCCCTAGTGCCAATAAAACCCTTTGTTTATGTCTAGATTGATTGATTGATTTATGTTGTGATATTTAACTGATGATATGTAGAATGTGTGGTCTCGGACCAGTCTAACCAGTGTCCTCTCTGTCTGTGGTCTAGTTGGCCAGTATGAAGAGCTGGATCGACCTGAGGAACGAGATCATCTTCCTGACGCAGAACGCCACGTCATCGCCCAGCACCATGTACCAGGCGGTCTCCAGGATCGTGTGCGGCCACCCTGAGGGCGGCGGCCTGCAGATCAAATCCCTCAACTGGTACGAAGACAGCAACTACAAAGCTCTGTTCGGAAACCACAACAGCAGCGAGGACGAGCCTGCGGCGCTCTACGACAACTCCTCCAGTGAGTCTTACTGGTTCTATATATTCTGGATTATATACTGGTTTATATATTCTGGATTAGATACTGGATTAGATACTGGATTATGGTAAATGGTAAATTTCTAGTCTTCCGAACCACTCAAAGGCAAGTGCCAACAATAACACATTCACACACTGATTGCATATGCAGGAGCAATTTGGGGGTTCAGTATCTTTGCTCACGACAACGTTGCCAGGAGGAGCCGGGGATCGAACCCAACAAAACTTCCGATTGGGGGACCGACCCGCTCTGACTCTGAGCCACAGCCACCCCTGGTTTATACTCTGGTTTATACTCTGGTTTATACTCTGGTTTATACTCTGGTTTATACTCTGGTTTAGATACTGGATTACAGGTATCGGGTTTATACTGGTACAGGTTTTATTTCCAGTATTGACTGAAAGTAATTCCGGATTTCTTTTTTATTATTTAAATGTTTTTGTATTTATTTTTGTTTTCATCTTTAATTATTAATGATGAATATATTTATTCTTAACCACTCTCATACAGCTTGGTCAAGATGTTGATCATGAAAATACAGTTGAAACAAAGTCTAAATGAAATTACATTACTTTTATTTTGAAAGAACCAGGAAATACCTGCTTTATTCTGAAACTCTTTGTGTTTGCAGCTCCGTACTGTAACAGTCTGGTGAAGAACATGGACTCGAACCCGATGTCCAGGATGATCTGGCAGGCTCTGAAGCCCCTGCTGATGGGGAAGATCCTTTACACCCCCCACACCCCCGCCACCCAGAGGGTCATCCACGAGGTATGACATCACTTCCTGTCATCACTTCCTGCTTCTTGCAGGAGGAGCTCTCAGTCTCACCTGTGTCTGTCTGTGTCTGTGTCTGTGGTGCGTTCAGGTGAACCGGACCTTCCAGGAGCTCGGTGTGTTCAGGGACCTCGGCGGGATGTGGGAAGAAATGAGACCCAAAGTGTGGAAATTCATGGAGAACAGCGAGCAGATGGACGTCATTAGGGTAAACAGGCTCCGCCCACAGCCATTATTTTATATTTAATTATTATTAATATATTTGTTATTCTTTATTTATTATTTATCTGGGATTTATCAGTATCAGTTGTTCAAGTTCAAGGTCAGATGTTTCAGCCCATAGTTTAATCATATTGATCGTATTGATCAGCAGTCAGTCGGTGCTGTCAGTGTCTCCGTGGAGGATCAATCTCATTGTTCTGTCCTGATCATTCCAGACTCTGCTGAAGAACAACGTCACTGCCCGCTTCTTCCACGCTCAGCTGACCGACACCGACTGGACCGTCGCCGATATCTCCAACTTCCTATCCAAGCAGACGGAGGACCCGAGGCCGCCGGGCAGCGCCCTCACCTGGAGGGAGGTGTTCAACGAGACCGACCAGGCCATCATGAGCATCTCCCGCTTCATGGAGGTCAGTGTTTAATCCACAACCATGTAACAGGTCATCTGTCCTCACAGGGTCAATGTGAGCCTCACCGGTGTCAGAGACAGCTGTCCAGTAGCGGTGTTAAGCTAACTGCAGCGCTCGCACCATCATTGCCATCAGACAAAACAGTGACGGGACAAACACAAGACTGAACGCTGTAAAATGTCTCACTATATCTGTGACGTTCCTACACCACGAACAACGCTGCTGCCTCACATCGCTCCTGGCTAGTCGAGAGCAACCGTTAGTTTTGCACTGTTAGCATAGTTTATTGTCAGCGTTTGTCAGAATACATAAGTTAATATCATGGATCACGTTATCTGGGGAAGCTAACGTTAGCCAACTGACATATGCACTCAGTATTTTGCTCGTGATAATGTTGACGTTGACTTTGCACAATGCGTGAGCTCAGCATGTTTCAATCTATAACTGATGAAATTCTCTGTATCGCAGTGATTTGTGTTCAGTGCAGGTGAGCATTCAGGACTGCATTATCAGTGCTCTCTCTGTATGTGTCTCAGTGTGTGAACCTCGACAAACTGGAGCCAGTCTCCACTGAGGAGCGACTGGTCAACCAATCCATTCTGCTGCTGGAGGACAGGAAGTTCTGGGCGGGGATCGTGTTCCCGGATGTCGACCCCAATGCAACCGAGCTGCCGGCCAAACTCAACTACAAGATCCGCATGGACATCGACAACGTGGAGCGGACCAATAAGATCAAAGACGCGTAAGGACACCCACACACACACACACAGATTAAAGAGTTCCTGTTCCTGAATGGTGGGAACGACCTCACTGACCCTGAAATTACTCCCAGCACAGAGAGCTGAGGTGGACAGAGTTAGGACAGTAAATACTGTCCCTTTAATATGTCTCACTGCGGCGATATAAGCCCATAATAATAATTTTACTTTCTATGTAATGGCTTTTTAGTTTTCCCTTTAAAGTTACTGTACTTCTTCATCAAACCTGTTGTCTCTCCTCCTCTTCAGGTACTGGGATCCAGGTCCTCGTGCCGACCCGTTTGAGGACATGCGGTACATCTGGGGCGGGTTCTCATACCTGCAGGACGTTATTGAGCAAGGCATCATCAGAGCGATGACGGGCACCAAGGAGAAGACGGGCGTCTACATCCAGCAGATGCCGTATCCCTGCTACGTAGACGACATGTAAGAATACTAACCAGAGATCAGCTGTTCACCTGCAGAGTCCCCTCGGCAGCCCTAACCTGACCCCCCTCCTGTCCCCTGTGTCAGTTTCCTGCGGGTGATGAGCCGCTCCATGCCTCTCTTCATGACTCTGGCCTGGATGTACTCGGTGGCGATCATCCTGAAGAGCGTGGTGTATGAGAAGGAAGCCAGGCTGAAGGAGACGATGAGGATTATGGGACTGAATAACGGCATCCTGTGGTTTAGCTGGTTCATCAGCAGCCTGATTCCTCTGCTGATCAGCGCCGGACTGCTGGTGCTGCTGCTCAAGGTGACATCCATGGACACACAATACCCAGACCAGGGATGCACAATACCCAGACCAGGGACACACAATACCCAGACCAGTATATCTAATGTCAATCAACAGCCAGCGTTTCTCACTTGTTATCAATCTGACTTTGTCCTGAACTCGTTGTGTCCTTCTGTACAGAAGGGGAACCTGCTGCCCTACAGCGACCCTGGAGTGGTCTTCCTATTCCTGGGCTCCTTCGCCGTGGTAACCATCATGCAGTGCTTCCTCCTCAGTACGGCCTTTGCCCGCGCTAACCTGGCTGCCGCCTGCGGAGGAATAATCTACTTCACCCTTTACCTGCCCTACGTGCTCTGCGTTGCTTGGCAGGACTACATTGGCTTCGGAGCCAAAGTCTTCGCCGTAAGACACCAAAACTCTCTTACGTTATGACGCTGTGTTTTTATTGGACAGATTGAGTCACATGTCCTCCTTCCCCGCAGAGCCTTCTGTCTCCTGTGGCGTTTGGGTTCGGCTGTGAGTACTTCGCTCTGTTCGAGGAGCAGGGAGTCGGTATCCAGTGGAAAAACCTGGTCTCGAGTCCTCTGGAGGAGGACGACTTCAGCCTCCGCACCGCCATCATCATGATGTACTTCGACTCCTTCTTGTACGGAGTCCTCACCTGGTACATCGAAGCTGTGTTTCCAGGTGAGACCTAACATCAGACGTGTCAGACACGGATCCAGTTTACTGATCAAGATCCAGTTTTATTAAGAATAATTTTCTGTGCGTCTTAGGTCAGTATGGGATCCCTCGACCCTGGTATTTCCCCTTCACCAAGTCCTACTGGTTCGGAGAGAAAGACACAAAGTCCAACAAGGTCTCTCTGAACCGGAAAGGAAACGCAGAAGGTGAGATTGCTGTAACGTAGATTGACCACACGGTGGCGCTACAGAAATAGAAAAATACAAGTGTTGTTTTAATCTCCTGTACTCAAAGACTTTTAATCTGAAAGAGACATCCTGTTCTTCCAGCTGTGTGTATAGAGGAGGAGCCTGCTCACCTGGAGCTCGGTGTCTACATCGAGAACCTGGTGAAGGTTTATCGGCACGGGAAGAAACTGGCGGTGGATGGACTGACACTCGGCTTCTATGAGGGACAAATCACCTCCTTCCTGGGACACAACGGAGCTGGGAAAACCACCACCATGTGAGTTCTGATCAGCCAGCGGCAGTAATCAATACACATTTAATAAAGCACTAAAATAAGGTGGTGGTGGTTAGATCAGACACACGCCCAATTCAACAACAACTCCTAATGGTGTCAGTTTTGTGCGTGTGATGCTATCTGAGGAAGTTACCATACCATTACCATATTAACTACTGGTTCTGGTGCTGGAGAGAGACTGCTCTCATGGGCTGTAGTTTATTGGTCCCCCGACAACAACCAGATATTTATCCTGCTAGAAATTATTCGGGTGTCAGTCAGCGAGCACCTATTTGCCTCTGATGTAGGGATACCAAATCAGGACTAAAATCATATAGTGTGAACTCAGCTTATAGATCCAGATCTGGTATCTTTAACTCAACCATCTCCCTTGCAGGTCCATCCTGACCGGTCTGTTCCCTCCGACCTCTGGTACCGCATACATCCTAGGCAGAGACATCCGGACTGAACTGAGTGCCATCAGACAGAGTCTGGGAGTCTGTCCCCAACACAACGTCCTCTTCAGCATGTGAGTCCTCAGTCTGTGTTTAGGTATTTTATTTTGAAAAGGTTCCCGTCTAGTTGTTCATGTGTTGTGGCGCCCCCTGCAGGCTGACGGTGGAAGAACATATCTGGTTTTACGGCCGGCTCAAAGGCCTCTCAGAGGAACAGGTCAAAGGTGAGATCCAGCAGATCCTGCAGGACACCGGGCTACCGCACAAACGCACCTCCAGGACCAGCGCACTGTCCGGGGGCATGCAGAGGAAGCTATCTGTGGCTCTGGCCTTTGTAGGTGGGTCAAAGGTCGTGATCCTGGATGAGCCAACAGCCGGTGTCGACCCCTACGCCCGCAGAGGGATCTGGGATCTGCTGCTTAAGTACAGACAGGGTGAGTGGTCCCCATGGGTCGGTTTAATAGCTAGTTTTTACTCTGCAGCCGAACTTCAACTTCCTGTCTGCTCTCAGGCCGGACCATCATCCTGTCCACGCACCACATGGATGAGGCGGACATCCTAGGCGACCGGATCGCCATCATCTCCCATGGGAAACTGTGCTGTGTGGGTTCATCCCTGTACCTGAAGAACCATCTGGGAACAGGCTACTACCTGACGCTTGTGAAGAAAGAACCAGAGCCTTCCCTCAGCTCCTGCAGGAATTCATCTAGCACTGTGTCCTTCAGCAAGAAGGTCTGAGCCGCACCGTTTGTACAGTATTTTGTCCTCTGTCTGTGCAGTATTTTGTCCTCTGTCTATGCAGTATTTTCCACAATATTCTGCCAGTAGCAGTACTTTGAAACGTCTGTGTTGTGGGTGTTTCAGGAGGAGGAGTGCGCCTCGGTCAGCAGCAGTGATGCCGGACTCGGCAGCGAACATGAAAGTGAGGCCGCTACCATCGGTGAGCTCTCTGTTACTGTGGAGCGTTTTATTTATACACCTTCAGGTGGGTCTGATCTGTGTCTGATGTCTCCGTCTTTAGAGAACGGCCCTGCGGCGTCCATCTGTGATGTCCCCTTCATCCACCCTGACGTGTCCCTGGTCTCGGGTCTGATCCTGTGTCATGTCCCCGCCGCCCGTCTGGTGGAGGACCTCGGACACGAGCTGACCTACGTCCTGCCCTACAGTGCCGCCAAGGACGGGGCCTTCGTGAAGCTCTTCAAAGATCTGGACCTCAAGCTGCCTGACCTCGGCATCTCCAGCTACGGAGTGTCTGACACCACGCTGGAGGAGGTGACGAAGTTTAGAGACATTATGACCAAGTCACTAAGGACATAAACCGATTTTTATTGACAAATATAACAAATATTAATGATCATGATATAAAATATTTAACTTCTCACATGTTCTTCAGCTGCTGAGACGTCAGATGTTACCATTACTTAAATAACTGATGTTTTAGTAAACAGTAAAGTGACGTCATTTACAGCTCAGATCTTAAAGGAAACTTTAGTAGATTCTTTTTAACACAAGCATCTGACATATATTGTATTATAATTCTAACTTCAAATGATTTTGAATGTTTTATAGATTTTCCTGAAAGTGGCTGAAGATAACGGAGTCGACACTGAAGTGCCTTCAGGTGAGGAGTGACCTCTGACCTTTGACCTAAAATAAAACATGACTGTGTGTGTGTGTGTGTGTGTGTGTGTGTACATCCTGACGTGTGTTAAAGATAACATTAAATGTGTGTATGTTCAGACGGGACACTTCCTGTTAGGAGGCGGAGGAGGACTCACGCCTTCGGTGGAGGAGACCATCAGAGCTGTCTGAGACCTCTAACAGAGGACGACAACAATGACTGCAATGAGTCTGACGGAGACCCTGGTGCGCACCACTTCCTGGTTCTTTAATAACAAACATTAATATTCTGTAATAACTGAACACAACATTTCTAACAGAGTGAGACCTCCTGCCATCAGCTGTATAAACACTGTCACATTACTGTGACAACTGTTAGCATACTGTTAGCATAGCAGCTGATAGCAGTAAGGATTCTTTTGTGTCATGTGACCTCAGAGTGCCGGGAGACGGACTGGCTGAATTGCACTGACGGTAAGGGCTCGTACCAGGTGAGCGGGTGGAGTCTGAGGAGGCAGCAGTTTGTGGCTCTGATTTGGAAACGGTTTTTGTACGCACGACGCTCCAGGAAGGGCTTCTTGGCTCAGGTACGCTCAAACCTGCTCCTCATTTACAGTAATAAGTATAATATAATAATATATATTATATATATTAATATATATTATATAATATAATAATAATAATGTGTTTGTTTGTAGATTGTTCTTCCTGCTGTGTTCGTGTGCATTGCTCTGGTCTTCAGTCTCATCGTCCCCCCATTTGGAAAATATCCCAGTCTGGAGCTGCAGCCCTGGATGTACGAGGACCAGGTCACCTTTATCAGGTACACAACTGTCCTGAACTGTCCCACACTGCTTTAAACTGTCCCACGGTGCTTTAAACTGTCCCACGCTGCAGTAAACTGTCCCACACTGCAGTAAACTGTCCCTCACTGCAGTAAACTGTCCCACACTGCTTTCAATTCAATTTTATTTGTATAGCACCAATTCATAACAGAAGATATCTC